ATATGGGAAAAGTTTATATAAGGTTGCAACTTAAAATATAGAATCACATATGCACCTCAAAAATCTATCAGAAGTGTTGTTTTAATATTGAAAAAACCTTTTAATCGATCATCTTGACATTGAAATGTACGAATGTGAAAAAAAAAAAGTAGTTTTTGAGTCCCGTAAATAGTGCATCTTGCAACACATTATCTAGTATAGATCTTGCGGATCCGAGAATACTCATTTTTAAGGCGAAATAGATGAACTAGATAATGTGCTATAATATACATTGCTTTTAGGGCTTGAAATCTTAATTTGTTTTCACAATCATAATGGTTACACTGAGATAATTGATTTGAAGGTTTTTTTTATGCTAGAACTACAATTTTCAATGAGTTATTAGCTGAGGCTTTACAGGCTGCAGCCCTATCAAACCATTCCCTTATCCATCACAATTATTGTACTTAGTATTAGCTGGCCATGGCAAATTTGGCCTTCAAGGCCTGATGTAGACCCACGTCCCCCACTCAGATTTTGGCAAATTAAGGGCTTTGTACTCAACCAAGATCAGGCTGGAGACTGATATTGACTGTCGGCGGGCAAGGATGAATTCGCATGCCTTGGATCTTCAAAATTTCACCATAGTTATCTTCATTAAATTTCACTCAGCAATAAAATTAGCAAGTTCAGGTTTCTCCAGGGTTTCCTATATTACATTGCACTCAGCAATAAAACTGGTGAAGTTCATGCTTCTATAGATCTTCAGAATGGGATCAGGTCAAGTTTACAATAAATATGGGAATACATTTATTCTATTCACCAGAAAATGCTTATTAATAAAAAATAAAAAAAAAAGCTTCTAATTCTTGTCGTTTGTTATGATTAAAATAACTGCTCATGTCATTTGTTATTGTTCTGTCGTAGTTTCAGGGTATTCAATCATACCATGAGCATTGAGGTGCTTCTTCCATTCAAAGGTAGATATAAACCATGAGCTCAACTTCAGGAAAAGTTTTTTAGCTCTCTTTTTTCTTTCTTTTTTTAAAGTTATGAAAGAGGAAGGACACTAACCCATTTTATTTAACGATGGGGAAAATATACATTAGGAGAACCAAGTAAAGGTTTAGTCGTAGTTTATGTATCCAAAATGGAAAGAGAACAATAGCATGAAAACACAGGCACCTATGCCCTTAGGTAAAATGCTAAAATGCATATAATCCTCAAAAATTAGAATCCAACCAGCCCTAAACCTAAAAGAATTGTTCTAGATACCTCCATGGGAGGTTTGAAATTATAATGAGATTGTTTGTTGGGGAAAGAACTAACACTATTTATCAACTGGACTGTCATTTTTCTGCCACAATTTATGCCACGAAAACCCTTACAAAGTCCCAACGATAAATAGAACTCCGTAAACTCAGCACATTATGGCTTAAGATTACGTATGTTGAACCTAAAACAGCATTGAATGCAATCCATTGCGATCTCTCACTTGATAATTGGGCTGGATTTCAACAATGGCAACTGGAATCATTTTCTACGAAGCAGACAATGTAAGAGAGCCATTGATAATTGCTTTTTTTTCATCTCTCGACAGAGTTATTAAACTCAAGACTTCCGGATTTTACTACAGTTCTCTTATTGGGTTAGGTATCATGCCTCCTCCGTGGCTTTCCTTTCGTGCTTGCGTGACTCTCAAGATCACACTTTTGGGTTTAATTGCTCACAGCATGTGAATTTGTCAAAATGTATTGAGGCACCGTTTCTTAACTGAGAAAATAGGAGAAAACCACCTGTTTTCTCAAGTACCACATTTTCCCCGTTTGGGCCCACATTTCCATGTTCTCCAATCATGGATAAAATTACAGCACACCTCAAGAACTGCAGCACACCCCAAGGGGTGCGCTGCCGATTTCTTAAAAAAATAGGGAAACAGTGAGTTCCCCCTCATTTACCTTCTATTTCTCTAACCTCACGATCTCTCCCCCTCTCAATCTCTCTTTGCCCAGCCCAAGCTCTCTCTAGATTTTATAGACAGGTTTCCGAACAAGGGTCTCAGCTTCCAGCCACTGTTCTCAACTTCTTCCTTTTTCTCAAGCTTCCAATTTCTCATAGGGGTGCACCAATTATCAAACAGGGCCATAAATATCACCTTTTTCTCTAAAAATAGTCAGTTACATAATGCTTCTACAGGTAACTTTCTTTTCAAAGTCTAAAGACGCTACAACCAAAGCATCTTCATGTTCTAATAGCCAAAATACTTATATCAGAATATCTATGTTTTTATTGCAAATAGGACTTGAAGATCTCAATAAGCCGACATCAATAAGCTATTGTCTCACTACTGTAAACTCAGAACTTCAATCTCGAAGATCAATTCAGATTCTGGTTGTATTCCCCAGTCAGGAAATCCATTTCGGCCATAAGCATAGTCAGGTGAGCACTGCAAATTCACCAAAAAACAGAAGTACAAGTTAACAGATAGAATATCTCGTCTGATGCCTAATAAACTAAAAGAAGATAATTGAACATTGTTTTCCAATTGACCTACAAGCATAGTCAGGTGAGCACTGCAAATTCACCAAAAAACAGGAGTACAGGTTAACAGAGAATATCTCATCCGACACCTAATATATCAAAAGAAGATAATTGAACATTGTTTTCCAATTGACCTATATAAAGTTCAAGAAAATCAAGTTCAAATTGAGACATACTATCAGTTATTACAGAAGATATGAGAGAAAATTGATACATAAATCAGACCCCCAAACTTTCTGTTGTCCTACAAATAATATTTCCGTCTGCTTGCATTTAAAACTAATGGTAAGGAGATTCAAGTCATACAATCAGGCTGTGTCATCCCAAACACAAACCTCATTTTATGCAACTTCAATCGAAAAACTGTTATTCTTTTTATATTTTGGAGAAACTGCCACTTTGATATCCACAACAGAAACCTAGAAATTTGATCCAAGAAAACAAATAAAAGAAAACCAAATAAACAAAGAGCCATTGAGGGAATAGATCACATGGAAGTGTCGGCTATATTACCCAAAGGCGAGCAACTTCTCCTACTTGCATGCCCATAACACCTTCATCCCATCCTAGAAACAGTGCATCAAAATATTAAAGTTTGTACCAAGGGAGTGTATGCAATGAGACCATGTACCTATTGTACAAGGTCACAAGTGCTTATAACCATCTGATGTGAAATTTGATGGTTTGAGTGTCACAACGTTCGAAAAAGAATTCCTTTGAACTTTGTACTTGGTCAATAAAATAAATGTAACCACCCAATTTCAGATCCAAAGGTCAAGATTAATTGCGTTCACCTTGTACAAAAAGTAAATGGTCTCATTGTATACTTTTCCTTTTACTAAAAGATAAGGAATTAGCAACTTCTTATGTAGAAAACCATCAAGCTCTTGGCTCTACAGATTTCACAGAAAGCAATGGAAAAAACAATTTGTAAACTAGTATGATAGCACTCAAAGATGCTCAAGGATATCCAATAATTGGGAAAAAAAAAAAACAGTATGAGACACTGTCTCCTTTCTAAGAGAAGCAGGTCTGTTTTAATTCATAGATGCAAGCATGTAAAATTAGAATCATGAAAAGATGCTATACCCATAACTCCTCCATCCCGTCCTAGAAGAAGTGCATCCAAAATATTAGATGCTAACTTCCGGTACTTTTAGAAACCAATGGATGAAACAATCTTGTAAACTAGCATGATGCCACGGAAATAATATTCAAAAATGCAAAATAATTAACTGGTAAAATACAGTATGAGTCAGTGTTTGCTTGCCAGAGAAGGAAAGTCCGTGTTAATCCATATGCATTCATAGATATGAGCACTTAGAATTAGAATTAAGAAACATGCTAAGTCAAGTCCTTAAAACATATGCAGGACCAATAAAAGCAGACCCAAGCTAAATTAGTAAATGATGCAGGTGCAAATCTGCAAACCAGAAAGAGAAACAGAATAAAATTGTAAGCAGTAGCTAGTTTATATTTAAGTTATACAGCATTTCAACAGTTGCTACATATGCAATAGTAAATTATTAAGTCAACTGCATATAGAAAACGATTAACACAGCCATAATTACATGATAACATAGTGTAACCACTTTTTCTTCGTTCTTCTTCTTCTTCTTATATTTTTTTTGGTGGGTGCGTTCATTAGGTGAGCTTGGTTTGCAAAGAGCGGTTCAAGACCAAACCCTCTCTCAGGATAAACCAGCTATGTCACTGTTAAGCCTAATGAACGATACAGGACTTAGGCTCAGAACTCGCCTCCCGGGCAAACCGAGTGACTTAGTGGACTCACTCATGTCTACAACAACCATACAAAGGGACCAAAAATAAACGAAAAAGGAATAATAATTGCAAAAAACGTACATAAACATGGAATAGGAAAAACAATTGATTCCATTGGACATCATCAAGATTTTCAAGTGTTCATTTCATAGATCTGCTCAATCTGCACAATTTTTTTAGCGTTAAATTTCTTAATTATGGATAGAAATAGATTTTCAAACTATCGTAGGGGTTTTCAGCATTGGAACTACATCTTCCGGCAAGTCATGGAGGTCTTCCTTACTTCGATTGTTTAAGATTGACGCCTTATATAAAATAGGCTGAAACGAACATGAACATGCAGCCCCACATTGGGGTGGGAATGGACCACGGATGAGAAAGGCTCTAATGATGAAACAAAGAAATATTGTTCTTCTTACTATTTCCTTTCTTTGTTTCGTACAATGGTGAGGGCAACGTTGAAACAAGTTACTCAAATTTCCTTAATAAAGGAAACATACAAAATACAAAGTAGTTATAAACTAAATCTAGTAATATAACACTAAATCTAGCACTATTTGGTCAGAAAATTTTGTTATATGAATTTAAATAGGGAGAAAAAACATTCATGTACTCAAAGTTTCAAAGCTGATCCTCCCAAAGATGCGCCTAGTGCGAATCGAGACCTCGAATCATTGTGAATAGGTTGCCAAATACCCCAAATTGAAACCCTAAACTAGATTTTGGATTCAAGTGCATATCTAGTTGATCCAAGTTCTTAAAATTTTCAGCCGAAGCCTCTTTTGAGTGTTTTCTTCTAGAATATAAGCCTTGGATTCGATAGATAACACATAGGCTCATAGAAGAATTTTCTGGGTGGATTGAGCTATGGTTGCAAAAAATAGCAAACGAGAACTTCAGCCAAACATTAGCTAGACAAAAACATCTCATTAAGTCCAAGATCTTTTTCTTTTTTTCGCTGAATCTTGACGCTTGGAATTGATAGAGGATGGAAAATTATGGTTAGGGTTGAAGTTTGAGAGAGATCCGAACCCTAATGATGAAGTCCATATAGCTATAGTAACTTGAAGAGTACTGTATACTGCAAGCTCCCAACCAGTTGCAGGCCTTCCAGAGTTAGCAGGCTGTCAAGTCTAAGTTGACTTGAGTTTTTAACACTGAATCAAGTATTAGAGAAGAAATAATGACAAAAACAAAAGAGAGAGAAGATTTGTTTCCTTTTCATTGAAACCCAATACACCTCCCTACTCAAAATAACCTGTGTTTGCAATAAAATTGAATAGGACATATTTTGTCTAGCAGGGGAACAACACGGGAACTCTCTCTCTCTCTCTCTCTCTTTGGAGGTATGCAGGCTTGGGCATTAAGAATACTTGCCTAGCCAATAAGGCACTTTTTGAGGAAATTGTATAGGAGATTCATGATAAAGAGGGACAATGTCAGCCATGAGGATTAGAGAAGATCAGTGCACAAGATAGGAATCGGTGGGCATTACAGTTGTTCAAGGTGGTGGTAGGGTCTCAAGGGTGTGGAGGGGCATGGCCGAGATGCGCCATAAATTTAGAAAGGGGGTGATACTCGGTTGCAATTGAGCTTGGGGGAGGGACAAAATTTAGTCTGACACTCTGACACATAGGTAGAGGAGCCAACTATAGTTGTTGGAAATGCTTGGAAACCTAAATCGTTTTAGGAACCGGAATCATGAAATTGTACCTGCCTAAAAGATTCCTATTGTAGGAATCGACGTCCGTACAATGAGAATCGTAGGGAATGAGATTCCTAATTTCTTGGAATCATTTCTCGACCAAAATAGATTCAAAATTCATCCACATCTCCAATCGAGATTCTGGCCTCCTTGGAATCAAGATTTCCATCCTCCTGAAATCGACACTGGAGAAGTCAAGATTCATTGATATGTGGAATCGAGATTCCGACATCTATGGAATCGAGTTTCTGACATATATGAAACAAAGATCTGATGCACTTTAGAAATGTGATTCCAACATATTTGAAATCGAGTTTCTGATGTATATGGATCAGAGATCCATGCCAGTTTGATGAGAATTACAATAGTATGGAATGCATTTGACCCAAACACATCTTGAGCATTATCAACTTTAGATATCCATGGGATAAGTGTAACTAAGATGAGGATGTTGAGATGGAAAAACAGCAAGACAAAGGAGAAAAATCGGAATGAAAAAATCTGAGGGAACTTAGGGGTAGCTCCAATACTTGATAAGATGAGGGAAATCAGATTTATGTGGTCCGGCCATATGCCACATCGACATAAAACAACACCGGTTAAGAGGGGTGACTTAGTCCATGTAGAAGGCTTTAAAAGGGCAAAAGAAAGGCCTAAATGGGCACAGGGCACAGATGGAAGTGGTGAGCAAAGACATGGTGACTTATGGTCTGATTGATGGCATGGCCGTTGACAGCGCAGAACGGTTAGACAAGATTCATGTAGCCGATCCCATATAGTTGGAATAATATGTAGGGAATGATATCATGTCACCATGTAATTATAATATAATGAAACTACTCTTCTTAAAAATCATGTTTTTGGCATTTATTTGACCCCAAATGTTGCATACACACTCTTCATCTTAATAATCGATCTTAAGAAAAATAAATTTCAATTTGCACCCTAAATATGGTCAAAACGAGTTCGTTCGATTTTTTAAATATACACTCTTATATATATATATATATATATATATATATATAC